TTCCTCCCTCCCCTCATCCCTTCCTCCCTCCCCTCCTCCCTTCCTCCCTCCCCTCCTCCCTTCCACTCTCCCCTCCTTTCTTCATCAATCCCCACCCTCCCTCACCTCCTCTTTATCTATTTTGTGAATTAATTTGTTCTTTATTAAAATAAGTCTCCTGCACCTCCGCGGGCAGGGTTCTGAGCAGGCACTGGGGATTTGGCACAGCTGGGGAGACGTGACCTGGTCTTGCCCTTGAACCTTGCAACTGGTGATGAAGGCGAAGCCAGTGATTATACAAGGAGAGCTCCACGGGCCAGAGCAGAGCAAAGTTACCAGCTGGACAAGAATGAAGGGCTGCCTAGGAGAGCCACCAGGGGAGACCACACGGCAGAACCCCATGAGCCTCTGTCCCCAGAGACGGGGAAAGTGGAATATTTCAAACAATGGAATCATCTCCACACCCTCCATCCAATCATCCTTTGGCCCATCTTCTAGGTTTGGTGTGGCTTGCCCCCAAGGTCCCTGTGCTGGGAACCTGGTCCCCAGGGTTGTGGTATTGGGAGATGGTGGGAAGAGATCACAGGATGTCAATCTGCTTCCTGTTTGGTGACACGGTGATTTTCTGCCATAATATGACATATCCAATAGGTCCCACAACAGAGCTGAACCAGTGCAAGTTCCATGCCCTGAACCTTCAGAATTATGAGCTAAATAAACCTCTTTTCTCTATAAAGTTAGCCCAGTTCGGTGTTTTGTTATAGTAATGGAAAACTAACGAATACACTCTCCATCTACCCATCTACCATCCTGATTCCTCCTTGTACTTATTAATTTCTTGTTCAACACGTAGAGCAGTGTGTCTGCTGGGGAGGAATCCACTGGTAGGGCTGGGTTCTGATGTCAGCTTCACCAGGCGCTGACATATGAGCCCAAGCCTCAGTTTCCTCTCTGGAGAATGGGGATAATGATGCCCTTTGGGAGCCTGGTTACAAAAGGAGCTGAGGACCTCGTGAGTGGCAAGTGTCACCCAGCCCATGGCAGCTGTTGTTCAGGTCCGGCAGCCAGTCACGGAGTGTCTGCCCAGCCCACCTGGGGACAGGCATGAAAACTCAATCACTGGGCTCGCGCAGTGGCCCATCTGACTCCTCCAATCAGAAATGTGGAAACGCCCAAGTAACTCTGTGGGCCTCCTGGGGACCTGCAAGGTGGGCGCTGGTATCCTAGTTCTTCAGGTGAAAGAAATGGAGGCACCCAGAGATGGTGGACAGTCCAGGCCCCTGCAAGTGGCAGGGCTGGGCGTGCCTGGCAGGATTTTGACCTCCCAGTCCACCACTATGCCCAGGCCCCGGGTCATCTCCCCAGGTGTCACTGAACTGGAGAACTCAGCTGCCTGTGGGCTCCTCYGGGCCATCTGAGGGTATCTGTGCTGGTCACTCGGGGCTATCAGGGGTCTTCTCTGGGTTTGGCCTTGACAAGCTCCTGACGTGCAGCATTGAGAGACCGGGGCAGCTCAAGTTCCCTTGGAAATGCCTGGCCCTCACTCTGTCTCATGGGGGGTCCAGAARCTTGGGTTTCAGCCACAGGTATGTGGGCCCTGAGGTCACCTGCAGCTCTGGGGTCCTGTTCTGCCTSTGTCATCACATGGGGAAGTGACATTGTCCAGCCAGGGCCTGAGGTGTTTCATAACACAGGACCCCGCCACACTCAGGGTTCTCCAAAACTCTGCGGAACCTGGACTGGCCCCCAGCACCGTGCAAGTTTCCTTCAACGGCAACTCCCGACAGTGCTGGCCTCGAGGATTTGTTCTAAGGAGCATTCCGTATGTGAACGAGAGGATAGTGGTATTTATTRGGCATCTCTGTGTGGCCCCATGTCCCTGCCCTAGAAGATACACATACAATCTCAGTGAATCCTCAATACACCAGTTAGTATGATRCAAAAGTATCCTACTATGACTTAAACCATCAGTAATTTTATGATCTCACACAATGGGAAGTCTGTAGGTGATGGTTCCAGGTTGAGCCCAGACTTCTAAAAATTTTTTTTATTTGTTCTTTTTAGACATTCATGACAGTAGAGTGTATTCTGGCCTAGCATACATACATGGAGTATAACTTCCCATTCTTGTGGTTGCACATGAGGTGGAGTTTCATTGGTTATGTATTCTTATAKGAACACAGGAAAGTTATGTCTAAATTATTATACTATCTTTCCCATTCCCATACTCTCCCTTCCCTTCATTCCCCTTTGTCTAATCCAATGAACTTCTATCTGCCCACCACATATTGTAAATCAGAATCCACACATCAGAGAGAACATTCAGCCTTTGTTTTTGTTTTTTTTTTGGAATTGGCTTATTTCACTTAGCACGATAGTCTCCAATTCCATCCATTTACCAGCAAATGCCATAATTTCATTCTTCTTTATGGCTGAGTAATATTCCATTATGCATATATACCACATTTTCTTTATCTATTCATCTGTTGAAGGGCACCTAGGCTGTCTCCACAGCTTAGCTATTGTGAATTGAGCTGCTATAAACATTGATGTGGCTGTGTCACTAGAATATGCTGATTTCAAATCCTTTGGGTATAGACCAAGGGGTGGGATAACTGGGTCAAACGGAGAAGAACCCAGACTCTTATTCCCTCTATTCCTTTATCCTCCGGCTTGTGCCTCATACACCAAAATGGCTACTGCAGATCCAGCTGATGCTCACACACCAGGAAAGAACAAGAAGAAAAGGGGCATTCTTTTTTTTTCCTTGAGCATGGCAATCCTTTCTAGGCACTTCCAGAAGATTTCCTCCTGTGTCTCATGGACTAGAATTGGTCGGCCCACTCCCATGTTAGTGAATAGAGAAGCCATCAGTCATCTCTGGTGGGGTCCTGTCCACKGGGATCATCAGCCCCTCCACGGGCACAAGCTCACTGCTCTCCCGAGGCCGCCCCACGGGGCCGTGATCCAAGCCTCAGGTAGAGCTGCGGAGGCCTGGAGATGGAACTTGCTGGGGTGGTGGCCGAGCACAGTGCACACGTGGGAAGAGAAGTGTCCAGGGGGTAGCTGGGCCAGAGGGCACACACTGAGGAAAGCAGATCAGCCTGGGGAAGTGCATCCAGGAGATGCCCAGTGTGGGCCCCGTGTGGGCCCCGTGTGGGCCCCGTGTGTGCCCTTCCAGATCTCTCTGGCTGCTCCAAGGCGTGTGAACAGGAGGAGGCTGGGTGGAGCCTGGGGACCAGGTGGGAGGCTGCTGCAGAGGTCCGTCTGGAGAGCATGGGGCTGGGCTGGGCAGATCACCTCCCTCCCAGACAGCCGAGACACCTCTGTGGCCACCGTCCAGCGGGCAGCAAGGCCAGGGGCCCAAACTCACTGGGGACCACAGTGCCCAGAGGAACTGGAGCCAGCTCCAGCACCCACGCCGCTCTTGAGGACCTGCAAGGTGGGAAGAGGGTCCCTGATGACCACCTGGTCTGAGGCAGTGGGTCCCACAGCTGGAGCCGGGCGGGTTCCTGGGCRAATTCCTATCATTTCTCCAGGGGGACCTACAGGCAGGGAGAGAGGAGCAATGAAGACCCGAAGCCAGCAGCCTGGAGGAGTGGGAGGAGGTCATTCCCCAGGGACCCTGCCGTCCAGGGACCCTGCCTCACCTCACCCCCCTGCACCCGCCCCCTCCCTGCCTTTGTGGCCTGTCCAGCAGGACCAGGGCTCCTGGGTAAGGACTGTCTGCCCGTGGCCCCTGTGCACCGCAGTCCGGGAACTGTCCCTTTAAGAGCTGTCAGGGGGGGAGGCTGGCCAAGCGGGGGCTGGAGGTGGGGACAGAGGGAAGAAAGAAAAGAGAGAGAGAAAGAAGCAGGAAAAGTTTTTTTCAGAGGAAAATGCAGGGCTTGTCCTTCACCCTGACGTCAGATCTTGCTTTAATAAAACCCCCGAGGGCTTCAGAGGAAGCGTATCTGCGGCTCCTGATGGGCAGGGCCAGTCTGGGCCCAGCTCCCCTGAGAGGTGGCCGGACCCTCTGGGCTGATCCGTGGATGCCGGTGTCATTGACTTCCAGGCATGAGGTGGTTCCTGCCCTGGACGCTGGCGGCGGTGACAGCAGCGGTGGGCAGCGTCCTGGCCAYGGTGAGTCCTGCCTGGGGGCTCCGAGAAGGCGCTCTGCTCCCTCCCACGGTCCTGCTGTGGGGCCCGGGGCAGAGGGACTGGAGTGGTGGGCAGGGAGGGCCGCTGAGGGCACAGGCGAGGAGAAGGGACTGGGTGTCAGTGGAACCTGGCGGCCTGAGGAACCAGGGGTGCTCTTGGTCCTGTGTCCCCCCTTCCCTCCTGAAGTGAGACGGAGAGGGTCCTGCAGGCGGGCGTGGCAGCGGGCGCGGTGTGACCCTGGGCTGGTCACTCACCCTGCTGGGSGGCATGAAGAAGGCGTCTGAAGTCTCGGGTGTTGGAGGGTCTGCAGGAGGGGAACYGGAGATGACCACCTGGTCTGCGGGAAGGGGACGCAGCTTTGGACACAGCTCCATGGAGAGGCAGGGTGGGGGACCCCCGTTGGTGCTGTTCCCTGCGGCTGTTCTCCTACCTCCAGAGCCGGTAGCACCACGCATAGATCTTGTGCACGGGGCCCCCACCTGCGTGCGTCCCAGGCACACCAGGGGGAGGACACAGGCTCTACCTCCCAGGGGCCAGGGCAGAAGACACGTGGCAGCCCAGGCCAGCCTGCTGCAGCCACAGTGGGCGGGCGGCACAGCCAGGCGGGTGCGGGGTGGCCAGGGGTGGGCGTCAGGGCAGCTGCTGACCGCGAAATGCTTCGGCTGGGGCCGGAGCCGGTGCCAGGGCAGCGGGAGGCAGGAGGGGGACGTCAGGACTGCCTTGTGCCCAGGGCCTCCTTGGGATCTGTGCACCTGGTCACGGACCCGGAGCCTGAGGCTCAGCAGGCAGCTGGTTGCCTACCGGCTCGAGGCCCCTRCGTCTGCTTTAGCTGGCTCTGAGGCTGGCACCCAGAGCTGGCACCCACGAGAAGTGGCCTCCCTCAGAGCTCAACATGTGTGAGGACCTTGAGTGGCAGTGCCSAGCCCCCAGAGAAGGGACACTGGCCCCATTTACAGTTGAGAGAATCCAGGACTTGGAGCGGAATGGGACCTGCYGGCTCCTAGTGAACAAGAGCCGGGGTTGGGGGACACACTCAGGTCTCCAAATCCCCACCTTCCCTCCAGGGCTTTCCCAGTTAGGGGAGCAGCGTCCCCTCCAGCCCAGAGCAGGGAGCCAGCCAGGGCAGCTGCTCAGGCCATGGGTGCAGGAGTGCAGGTCGCCTGCCCAGAAGGGGGCAGAGCTTCAGGGTGGCYGGAGAGCCCCAGGGGAGGAGTCGGCCAGGGGCCCAGGACCTCTCCAGAGCCGCTGGGGCTGGGGGTGGAGGAGCTGGGGGTGGGGGACAAGCTAAGGAGCCAGGAGACCCAGAGGTCCAGGCAGGAAGCTGGAGAGGGCTGCCAGGGAGAGCTCCAGGACCCGGTGCCACACCATCGCCCCCTGGGACCCTGCTCCGCATCCCACCCTGGCTAGGGGACTTCCGGGCTCCCAGCACAAGGCCCAGCACCTGGGTTCTTCCAGCATCTGAAAAGCCCGGTGTGGGGATGTGGGGAGAGGAGGGGAAGGGATGAGCAGGGGAGGAAGGGGAGGAGGTGAGGGAGGGGAAGGAGGGGAAGAAGTGGGGGAGAGGGACAGGAAGGGGGGGGAGGGGGAGGGGAGGGGAACAGTCCCTTGCCCAGAAGCCAGCGCCCATGCCTAGATTCCTATGTAAAGGGAGTGCAAGTCCCTTCAGGGTCCTGGAGGATTTTAGTGGAAAAAGTGATTTACAGAGTCCATATGGAAGAAAAAATGTGCGAGATTGCCAAGAAAATCTGGAGGAAGTAGAGCTGTGAGGGAGACTTGCCCATCAGATGAAAACCGAGCACCAAGGTCCCGCCACGGAGGGAGGAGGGGCTGGCCGGGATGGAGCAGTCCAGTGGGGGACCAGACAGGGACCAGGGACACACAGCCAAACAACCTTGGGAACCTAGGATACGATAGTGGTGGACTACAAGTGGGACTTACTTCACCTCTCTACCCTTTCCTTCCTTTGACATTTATTGAGCACCCACCACCTGCTAAGATAAAAGGTCCACAGTTGGAGAGCCYTGCAGGTCCTGTGCCAGTGTCCTGCACAGGACTAGACATCAGACTGCCCCAGTGCTCCGGTGCTCATTCCCATTTCTTAAATTCACATTAAGCACCCCTAAATTCTTTAAGCAACAGTACTAAGGGGACATAATCATTCTTCTTTGTAGAGGTTAAAAAAAGAAGTGCAGAGAGTTTAAGTAATTTGCCYCAAGTCACACAGCTTCCAGCTTCCCTGGTCTAAATACTTGTACAGAAGTGGGATGCAGGCAGTTCCTGCCCCAATAGGAGTTTATAGGACAGACAGGTGGAACGGGAGGGACAGAGTGATGTCATCCAGAGCAGAGAGGCCGGGTGCAGGCTGCCATCTCAACAGGACCCTCTGTCACATAGGACATGTTAATCAGGGCCAGCAAGCCCTTGCCCACCAAGCTCTCTACTGCTGAGTCCAAGCACGTGACATTTGAGTGGGCCTCTCAGAAGCATAAAAGTGGGCAAACAAGTGCCCGGGAGGCAATGCCCAGGCAGACCTTGGGTCAGGGGAGTGCACAGGTGTGAGGTGAGGCTCAACACTCCCTCCCATCAGTGGGTGTGAGATGTGCAGCTGACTGAGTGTTTGTGTGTGAACATGGTGCATCTGAGTGCAGGAGCCTGTGTGTGTGTGTGTGTGTGTGTGTGGTACGCAGTCCCACTCTCCACCCCCAGAGTCAGCTGCAGACACAGGCTCATTCCAGGTGTGGGAGGAGTGGCAGGCTAACTGGCTAGCTAGCCTGGGATCAGTGCTGGGACTGATCAGTAAACACTCCCAGATATTGTGTGGGAAAATGGAATATGGATGGTGATGATGGTGGCAATAGTGATGGTGATGGTGGTGATGATGATGATGGTTGTGATGTTGGAGATAATGTCAGTAAGGGTGGGGATGGTGGTGGTGGTGATGGTATTGGTGATAATGATGGTGGTGATGGACAAAATGGTGGTGATGGTGGTGGTGGCACTGATGGTGGTAGTAGTGATGGGGTGGTGATAATGGTTTTTATTAATCTGATGGTGGTGATGTTGCTGGTAATGGTGGTAATGGTGAGAACGGTGGGGGTGGTGATGGTGGTGATGATGATGGTGATGATGATGGCAATGATGATACTGATGGTTATGATGGTGATAGTGATGATGATGATGGAGATAATGATGGTGATAATGATGGTGATGATGATGGTGATGATGGTGATAATAATGGTGGTGATGGTRTGATGATGATGGTGAGGTTGTTGTTGGTGATGATGATGATGGTGATAATGATGGTGATGATGGTGATAATGATGGTGGTGGTGAGGATGGTGGTGATGGTGATGGTGATGATGGTGGTGGTGATGGTGATGGTGGTGATGGTGATAGTGTTGATGATGATGATGGTGGTGGTGGTGGTATGATGATGATGGTGAGGATGGTGGTGATGGTGATGGTGATGGTGGTGGTTAGGGTGGTGATGGTGGTGATGGTGATAATGATGGTAATGATGGTGATTATGATGGTAGTGATGATGATGAGGATGGTGGTGATGGTGATGGTGATGGTGGTGATGGTGGTGGTGATGGTGATTATGATGGTGGTGGCGATGGTGGTGATGGTATTGGTGATGGTGGTGGTGATGCTGAGGATGGTGGTGATGCTGAGGATGGTGGTGATGCTGAGGATGGTGATGGTGGTGACAATGATGGTGGGATAGTAAGAACACCTCTGGTCAGGTCTGCCCTCAAGCTGGAGTCAGAGCAATAGGCCCTCCACACTGACTGTGCTTTTCACAGGCCGTGCACTTGCTTGTCCATGGACAGTCCCTATGGTGGCCCCAGCAGTTTCCAGTCTCTAGGGGCGTGGCCATGGGGCGTCTGCCTTGTCCTGCAGGAGGTTGGCTATTGGAGGCGGGTCTTTACGCTTGCAGGGCGGGGGGAGCTGAGGACTCGGTACTGAGGGGTGGTAAAAGCACCTGAGTTCTTAAGAAGAGCCCAGGAGCCTGCATGTCTGGTCCCCTCACACTGGATTTCAGATCATCTCTCCTCGACCGCTGACATCCTGACGCTGATCGTCCACTTCTGCACTCCACAGACAGAGAGGGAGGTGGAGGGAGGAGGGAGCCAGAATCGGAAAGAAGCTGGGCCTCTCAAAACACGAACAAGGGACATTCCAGGGGAGGTGATAAGATCGGCCCGCCCAGGTCTGGGATCTGCAGGCAAGTCCAGGCTCCCCCTCCACTGTGAAGGCCACACCTTGAAGGGGCCCCCGGGTGAGAGGAAGGCAGAGCCTTCCTCTAGGACCCCTGCCTTGAGTCTGGGAGTGAGGGAGGGAGCCGGCCATGAGCCTGCCCAGGGCTAGGAGGAGCTGGGGGCCTAAGTGGACAGATTTTGTGAGAGAGCAGGGGTTGAGCCCTGCCCTGGGGACAGAAGGTAGACTCACCTGCGTGGCCAGAAGGCCGCCAAGAAGCAGCTCATTGCCGCCCTAGTCCAGAGCCCACTGGCCCGTTCTGGATGGACCCCTCTTTCCACAGCAGCAGGGCCCCCAGGGGGCAGCATCTGCCTCTGGAGAGGCCTTCGTGCCCAGGAGGGTGTGTGCCGTGCTCTGGGAGGGCCCTCCAGACGTGCTTCCTCCCCAGAAGCTCTCCAAACCCATTCTCCCTCTGCCCACGTCTCCCCTGTCAGTCCGCCAAGGCGGCTCCTGGTCTCTGGCCCTGCACCCTCAGAAAGCCAAGAAGCGTGAGAGCAGCTGCGGCCCCTGGGTCCCACGTCAGGCCCTGCCCCTGCTCTGCCTGCCCAAGCCGGTTCCCCAGCCTCTCCCTGGCACGCAGGTCACTCRGGTCTCCTCCCCGGCTCATGGGGGCCCTGCACACGCCCCCATGCTCTTCCTGCCATCGCCAGCACCTCCCAGCGGGCACTCTGCTGGCTGTGCCCACCGGGGTCCACCTGCCTCCTGCCCCTTCTTCCTGCACA